TCCAGAAAGAAAAAAAAAAAAAAAAAGAAAGAAAAAACGAACATGTGAAATCATGAGTAAAAAAAAAAAAAAAAAAAAATTATATTTTAGATTTACACGCCATTTATTCATTAACCATATTTTTTATTATCATCATCATCATCATCATTAACGTTACCGTTTTTTTCATCGATATTGTAAATATATCGAAACATCATCGTCGTTATTTTTCTCTAATGCACACACAAATATATAAAAACAATCGTTATTATTATTATTATTGTAATTCTGTCGTTTTCATTCGTAATATATACATATATATTTATATCATTAATCTTCATTTTAATATCTCTCTCTCTCTCTCTCTGTCTCTCTCTCTTTCTTTTTCTCATGTTTTTATTTTACATTTATTAACTTTTACCTTTTTTAAAATTATCATTTCTTTCACCGAAAAAAAAAAATACTACATAATTACATAATATTAAAGTTATTTAAGGTAAAAAGAAAATAATAATAATGATATTTAAATATTATTATTATTCAAAAAGGAAATTTATAGGATTCCGAACGGGGGGGAGAGTCGGGCGCGGGGGAGGGGGAGGTTTCATCCAAAATTTTGATTTATTTAAAAGAGTAGCAGAAAACTCCATCGTCCGTTATTCAAAAATTTAATGTTTAATGTTTTGTATAATTTTGTGTGGCGGGGAGAGAGGGGTAGGAGGGAGGGGGAAGGGGAGGGGATGATTTGAGGGGGCTTTTAAATAAATTGCAATTTTTCGATATTAACATTTTAATCGATGAATTATTAATATTTATTTCTTTATTTAAAAAAAAAAAAAGACAAAAAAACTCAAAGGAAAATTTTTCCCCCCCAGTATTCCGGTTTTTTCCCGTTTTTTTGAGTATTTAAATCTGTGACGTCAGAGTTAAAAAATTTTTAATATCTAGTCTGTGTGTGTGTGCTATCACGTAATTATAATTAAATGATATAATTTTTATCCCCTTTTTTTTTTTTTATTGTCGTTGCTGTGTTGTTGTTGTTCCTGCTGTTGCTGTGGTTGTTGTTTTCGAAAGCCTCGAATGCAGTTTTTAATAAACATTTAAAAACTTAAATTAAATTCCTAAAATACCCGGGAAGAATTTTGAATTTTCATTATATAATCATAAACGAATTCATTTAGCCTCCAATGGCGTTTTCATGCCAGCATGCTTGAAACATTCTCCTCCTCTTTCACCTCCTTCTCCCACCCCTTCTCCTACCCTTCCTTCTTCCTCTTTCTCTTCATTCATTCATTCATTCTCCACTTTTTCGTAATTTATATTGTTTGTCAAATAATATTACTTTAATAATTATTTATTATTAAACGTGATAATAGGAAGGTGGAAAGAAAAAAAAAAAAATTTCGTCGTGCCATGTTTCATGCTAAAAATATTTTCTAAAAATCTCTCTCTTTCTCTCTCTCTCCCCCTGTCTCTGTCTCTCGCCATTTTTTTTATAAGTAAAATAAAGAAATAATAATAATAATAATTTGCATGAAATTTAAAAAAAAATTTAAATTGCTAATACGTAATAAAAAGAAAAATAAAAAAAAAAGAGGAAAACAACAACAACAAAAAAAATTTATAATATAATTAAAAATTTTCTTTTTTACGTCATAGTAATAATAATAATAATAATAATAATAATAATAGTGATTTTTTTTTAGTTATAAAATTTTTTTTTTTTAATAAACACATACGTGTATATAAATTTTATTTTATTTTAAATTTAACGAAACGGTAATAATAGTAATAATAATAATAATGAAGAGGTAAAAATATAATTTTATATTTTTAATTATAAATAATAATAATAATAATAATAATGATAATAATAACTATTTTTCGACTGTTAATTACTTTTCATTTTATTTAAAAAATTATTTTAGAAGTTACTCGGCGGTTAATTTCTTGTGTTACATAATCAAAATTAATTTAATAAAGTTTCAAAAATCATTTTCTTACCGTTAATTATTATAATTATAACTGTTATTATTATTATTATTATCATTATTATTATTATAATAATTACCACGTAAGAAAATTATAAAATGATTTTACTTAACTCTATAAATTGTTATCATATTATTTAATATTACACGTAGCCAATTAAAATTTTTTATTTTATTTTATTTTAATAATGTTAATAATGTTAATTAAATTCTTTATATTTATTCTTGTTAATTAAATCAATCAATCAATCAATCAAATTTTAATAAAAATAACGGTTAGGCTCGCGGCCAAAAAAAAAAAATTTCTGTAATAATTATAATAATAATTTTTTCGAAATGGGAAAAGAAACGAATGATTTTTTCCAGCAGCAGCGACAGCGACAGCGGCACCATCATCATCATCATCATTATTATTATTATTAATAATTTGAAATATTTATGAAAATGATTTAAACATTTAATAATTACGAATATTCATTCGAAGAATTCGAGAATGAAAAACTTGCAGTAGTAATAAAAAACATTTAAAAAAAAAAAAAAAAATTAATATAAAATAATGACGTCATTAAATAAAATAAAAAAAATATTAATCCAACCTAACTTTAGCGCGTTTACGAAAATCAATTTATCATTTTATTATTATCATTATTATTATTATTATTGTTACGAGAAAACCATTTAGTTAACAATTTTCTCGATAAAAATAATCCGTCAATAAAAAAAAAAAGAAGTTAAAATAATTTTTAATTACGACAAAACAACAACAAACAAAAATGACAAATTATTATTATTATTATTATTATTATTATTATTATTATTATTATTATTTAATAAGTTAAATATGTTGTGAATAAAATGACGTCGAAATGAGTAAAAAAAAAAAAAGAAAAATTTTTTAAAATTTAGGTTAAACGTGATTATATTTTATGCCAATTCGCCATTTTGTATAAAAAAACAAAAACAAACGACAACAAATCGTTTGTTCACATGTAATAATAATAATAATATTAAAGTTAATAAACTTGTTGTTAATACTTACTAAAAACTATTATTATTATTATTAATTTTAAACATTGTAATTTTTTTGTTCACACAAACATAAATTTTTAATGATATATATACTATTGTCACGTCACCATGTGTTTCCTTTAATATTAAAACAACAACAACAACAACTAAATAACGTCACCAAACGGTGAAAAATTCACTTTTTTAATTTCAAAAAAAAATAAATAAATAAATACACACCAACAGTTTTATTTAAATAAATAAATAAATAAATAAAAATTTAAAATAATAATAAAACCGGTTCGATTAAAAAAAATAAATAAACCGAAATATTATCAAATGCGGTTTTTAAACGTGACAAACCGTTTTTTTTTTTTTTTTTTTTTTTTAAATAAAAACGAAAAAAATAAAAATTTATTTAAAATAAAAACTCTCACACAGTTTTTTAATTAATTCGTCAACTTGAAACGGTAGGAAAAAAAACAGTATAATTATTATTATTAGTTACGTATTCGATTACAACTTTTTTTAAAATTTTCACAAAAGGGTAATAGAAAAAAAAAAAAAACAGAAAAAACATAAAAAAAAAAAAAAACTAAAAAAAAAAAATTTTTTTAAATACGATTTTAATAGTAAAGGCGTCGGCTCCGATCGCCCGGGAACTGAAAAAACATTTTACGAACAAACATTGATTCATTAATGCGTTTGCGCTAAAAACGAAAGAAAAACGGTTTAAAAAAAAAAAAAACGGTTTTCTTAATTTTCAAAAAAAAAAAAAAAATGTTGTTGTTGTTGTTGTCGTTGTCGTTGTGAAACTCTTTAAAAAGAATTAATAGTAATCGTTTCATAAAAGGCTGTGGTTTGTTTAAAAAAATTAAAACAGTTGGCACTACCGTTTTGTTTTTGTTTATTTATTTATTTCCCCCACTCCACACGTGTGATCTGTACGAAACCATATATATTGATATCGTTTTTTCAAACAAGGCTGTGATTTTTTTTTTAATCATTATGACGTAGAATAAAAAAAACAAACCTTAATAATAATAATAATTATTTTCATTTGATTAATCGGTAAAAATTTCAATAAAAAAAAAAGAAAGAAAAACATTTAATCCTTTTTTCATTTAAAGTTTATCTTTCTCCTTTTTTTTAATTTAAACGGCTTATTGACAATATTTATTCTTATCCATTTATTTTATTTTTTGTCACTTTTCTTTTTCGTTACTAATTTTAGTTTATTTTTTAAGTATCATTTGTTTTACTTTTACTAAAGGTTTTTAACTTTTTTAAAAAGATTTTTCATGCTCGTGATTTTTAAATCTAACAAACTAGTTTTGTCTTGTTTTTATAAGTTAAATTACTTTTAATTTTTTTGTTTTTTAACCTTTGAACTTTTGAATTTTATACTCTTTCATAACCGTCCATTTTCTTAGTATTAATTAACCCAATAAGATATTGTTTTTTCTTTCCTTCCTTCCTTCCTTCTTTCCTTTTTTCCTTTTTTCCTTTTGACCAATAATGTTTAAGAATTAATTATTTTTCAAATAATAATAACTAATTAACGTATTGATTATGCATATTTAATAAATGACATCAACTAAAATCCCTTTATTTTAAAAAGAAAACTAATAATATAGGGAGGGGGAGTGGGAGGTGTATACTAATTAGTAAATCTTACTACCTACTACTCCTTAAATTATTTTAACATTTAATTTTTTAATTTGATTTATTTATTAAAAAAAACAAAACTTTCTCATGTAAATAATTTTTTTTTTTATATAAAAAACAAAGAGTCTAATTTGGAAAACGATCTAAAACGAAACCGTGATAATGATAATAATAATAATAATAAAATTATTAACAATCGACTAAATATTTATAAATTTAAAAAAATTATTAAAACCTGACGAGTTTAATTAATCGTTTAAAATTTATTATTTATTTTTTTTTTTTAAGTAAAAAAGATTTATATTAAGGATTAAAATAAAGAGAAATAATAATAATAATAATTTAATTAATTAATTAATTAATTTTTTTTTGTTTCGTTTCTTTAAAATCTGGAAAAAGTTGTCGAGCGCACGTGGTACCCAATAATATTCTATGTCTTGGATAAGACATTGTTTTTTTAAATTCTAAATCGGTACCGTGAATCCAATCTAAAAGTCCTAAAACTCCGTAGCAATTCGTAAATCTACAAAAAAAAAAAAAAAATTTAATTCAACGCGTAAATAATAATAATAATAATAATAATGTTGTCCGTTAGGAATACTTACTTCATGTGATGAAAATCGTGTGCTTCGGAAGATGGAAAAAATGGGAGGTGATAACCGGAATGTTCGCTTAGCGTGAATGCAATTGCCAAACCGAACCAAAGCCAAGCAGTAGCCACGTGACTTTTCAATATGAAAACACCTAAAAATGCCGGAAGTATGTTCGACAATATGTGTTCTATTGGATTTGAATAAAGTGCGACGATCGATATCGGAGCCGTCCACTCGTGATGTTTTTTATGTATGTATTTATATAATCTTCTGTGATGTAACAACCTGTATTGATTAATAAATAAAACATAAATTTATTAAACTAATCGTTTGTTTTTTTCACAAAAATAAATTAATAAATATAAACATCTCTCCTGAGTTTTCTTTTCCCATCTAATAACCGTTAGAAAAAAAAAAATTTACCTAAACTTAATTACCCGGTGAAAACTGATATTATAATTATTATTATTATTCGAATATATTATTATTATTATTATGTATATGTAAAATTACTTTTAATTTTCACGTCGCGCACAACGATTCTGAAATTTTATATAATTTTAATTTATCAATAAATTTGATAGATCGATAATAAGACTAATATCAAAATACCACAAAAAATTATTTATTATAATTTTGTTTTGTTTTTCCGGGGTAAAACCCCTCCCTCCCCATCCCTCCTTCCCCCCCCCCCGAAAATAAAAATAAAAATAAAATACCGATATAATTTTTTTTTTTTTTTTTTTAAATTTGTTGAGCGTGTAAATCCCCTTAATATATATATATATTAAATAAAAAGTTGATGGCTTTATTTAAGACCATTTATTAAATTTATTACGGTAATATAAAGCTCTAACATGATAATAATAATAATAATAATAATAATAATAATAATGATAATGATATACCTTTACGGTATTTTTTGACTTTTTTCAAAACTAACATAATTTTTTTTTACCACATGATATTTAAAACTAACTTTTTCCTTTTTTTTTCTTTCATTTTTTTTTTAGAGAGTTGGCAACGTTTTAAAAAAAAATTTTAATAATAATAATGATAATCACCTGTGAGAATAATAAAAAGCAATTTCTTCGACGATGATAAAAAATAAAATTTCAAGAATCGTCGTGTGAAAAGGTGGAAGATTTCGTACGGGTGGAGTACCTCTCCATATCATTATCTTTCCTAATATTTGTGCCAAAGGTATGGTAACAACTATCTGATTGAAAAGTATGACGCATATTATCTAAGATAAATAAAGAAAAAAAAGAAAAATTAAATTATATTTAGAAAAACAAAATAACTGTAAAAAACTACAAGTATTGTGATGACGTCACCTTAATTAAATTACTAGACGTTATGGGTTCGTTTGTACCCGGTTGAACTTTATATTGTCTCAATACTTTCGGTTTGTTTGTCACATCTAAAAACGTATACACGCCGCCGACAATCCAATACGTTAATATTAAAACAAACCACGACCCTAAAAAATCATTCGATTCGATTATTAAAAAAATTATTTATTACTCGGGTAGAGAAGGGGAGGGGGCGAGGGAAAACTCACCGTAACCCCAAAGTATTTCGGGATCATCTCCGACTATATTTAAAAATTTATTCCATTGATTTATTCGTATATCTCCGGTTGTGTGATAAAATTTTTTTAACTGTTGCAAAGCATCATCTCGAAAAGATGGCGATACAAATAATGATAATGTAAATATTAAAATGGTTGCAAATGATGTAAACGATACTAAAACCATCGACATTTTGTTTTTTTATTACGGCTATAACTATAAATAAATAAAAGTTTAAATATGCGAAAGAATCAAAAAAAAAAAAAAACAATTATTCTTATTTATTTATTATTCTTACTTGTTTGTTCAATGAATGGTGAAGCAAAACAATCAAACAAAGAAACAAACAAAATTTGCACTTTGAAAATTTGATTTTTTTTTAATATAAATCATAATTTTTTATCAGATTAATTACAATTGTTTTTTTTTTTTTAATATTGATAAGAGATGAGAAAGTGGAAAATTAATATAAAATAAAATAAAAACA